GATGACGTCCCAGAGGGGAATCGAGAGGCGGTTGAGGCAGAGGTCACGATGCCACCCCCCGCATCGTGGTCAGACGATGACGCCCCAGTGGGGAACCGAGAGGAGGTAGCCTGCAGCGACCAGTGTACAGCTCACACTAACGACCCCCCCCTTCAGCAGTGCCATCAGGCCAGAGGAAAGGGGCGGGAAGTCACGGCGGAGACGGCGGAGGCCGCGGAAGCCGCGGAGCATCCCCCCCATGACAATCAGCCCGTAGCAGTCCTCTGGGAGAGCCACGCGCCCAGCAGGGAGACCACGGAGTAACCGCCCAGATGCAGGACAGCGAAGCCATCCGCTGGCTCGTCGGGAGAAACCTCTTCGCGCCTATTGGCCCCCCCTCCCCTGTCAGTGGACTTCTTGTGGACGGCGAACCCCGGGCGCCCTCGTCAGGCGTCCAGGGCGCCGCTGGCAAAGCAGCTTGCGCCCGGGCTATGGAAGCTGCGCCGCCGAGCGTGCACGCGCCCGGCACAACCAGTGGTGCCCCAGAGGCCGGAGAGAGTCCCGCGCTGTCCAAATGGGGCGCACCTGGGAGCGACGGCGGGCACAGGCCCGAGGACGAACGTCAGCGAAAGGGGCCCCTCCCCACGTGCCACAAGGCTGCGTCTGCCCTGGCCGCCCGACGCGATCCGACCCCAGCCTGGCGGCCAACCATGCGGCCTGCATCTCCCCGCAAAACCCTGCCAGGGGCGCAGCTGGAGCTGTCGCGAGCAGATCGCGAGCCCCCCACCCAGGACAACGAGGCCCGTACGGTGGAGAATTGCGGCCAGGATGCACGGCGGCACCAGAGGCCCGACCCGCGTCAATGGCCAGAGCCCAAGGGCCCCGACACGGGACAACAGCTGCACAAAACAGGAATCAACGACATCCAGTGGGACCTCCCCGGGGAGACCCGGCGAGGCGATGCGTCGACTCCAAGTCACACTGGGGCGATGTTCACTGGCACCTGGCACGCTTTCGCCAAGCGGAAGTCTGTGCCCGGCAGCAAGGGCGCGCTCGACCCGCTTCGGCTCGACCCGCAAACCTGCCACCTTCCTGGAATATTTTCGCAGCCACAAGTGCGACGTACGGGTCCCCAGCGACGCACTGGGCCTCGACGTCGACTGGGCTCGGCCGCGGCAGCTGCACCTGGGTCGAAGCGGCGGAGTGAACAGAGATCACCACGCGGCAAAGGGCCACCCGAACCACCAGGCCCCCAAGGAGCGCAAAAAACAGTGGTGGGCCTTCTCCCCACAGTAGCCTCGCTACCCCCCTCGTGGATCGCACGCGCGGGGTCCTGGCGCGTGGAGGGCGGTCTCTGCTGCTTTTGGCTGCGCCCCCCAGCATAGATTGCATCGACCGTTGAAGAGCGTCCGCCCTGAGACCTGCCCAGGATTGGCTTTGTCTGTGAGCGGCCCAGCATCGAGTGGTTCAGCCTTCCGCGGTCCATGTAGCTGTGTCCAGCGGCTTCTGGCTGCGCCCCCCTCCTATCATTCACAAGTCTATGCGGCTTTTGGCTGCGCCCCCCAGCGTAGATTGCATCGACCGTTGAAGAGCGTCCGCCCTGAGGCCTGCCCAGGATTGGCCTCGTCCGTGTGCGGCCCCGCATCGAGTGGTTCAGCCTTCCGCGGTCCATGTTCGTCTCGCTTTGCTCGGCGCAGCCGCAGCCCCAGCCCTCGCCGGGACAATGCATCGTTATGCCCCCGAACTGCGTGCGTCGGATACGATGCATGTGGGCCGGCTACCGGCTGGTGGTTGTCAGCCGCCTGCAAGCACACCAGTGGTCTCTTATGGGGCGGTGCCCCGACACCCCTCATTGACGCCGCTGCTCAGCGGTTTTTGGCTGCGCCCCCCTCCTGCCTGTGGCCCGCCCTGGTCCACCGCTGACCCGGCCCTGGTTCTGTCTTGGCCCGCTGTCAGCACGCCGCCTGCGCGCGGTGCGGCCCAGCTGCTCGGCAGCCGCCAGCCATCGTCGCGTCGTCGGCGTCGGGGACTGGCTTCCGCACGGGCAGCGCGGCAGGTGGAGGTGCAGCCGTCAGCCATGCACTCGGTGACACCCGGTGTTTGGCTTCGTCAAGTGAGCGGCCCCGCATTGAGTGGTTCAGCCTTTGCAGTTCGTGGTCGCTCTCTTCAGAGCAGCCCCGGCTACCAGCCCTCGTCAGTACTTTGCGTCGTTGTGCCCCCGTACTGAGTGAGTCGGATACGTTGTGCATGCACTGGCTACCGGCTGGAGGTGGCTCGGCCTCGTGAGCGCACACCAGTGGTCTTTCTCTATTGGAGGCGCTCTGACGTGGATCAGCCACGCCTGTGCAAGTGGTCGGTCCTGCCTGAGTGGTTCAGCCTTCTGCAGTTCGTGGTCGCTCTCTTCAGAGCAGCCCCGGCTACCAGCCCTCGTCAGTACCTTGCATCGCTCGCGCTCGCTTCCCCCTCTCTTGCCCCTGCTTGTGGTTCGGCTGGAGCTTGGCGCCGCAAGGGCGACTTTTCCCTCCGTTCCGCCTGGTCTCCGCGCCCTTGCGTCCCCACCTGCTGGGATGCCTTTGCCGGTCACCTCTAATGAGGGTCATTTCTTCCCTGGCGCGTGCACTCGCCTATGCGGCCTACGCGCCACTGTGGCCAATTATCAACGTTCTGCGCCCCAGTTGTTTATCCCGCTTCTCGACCGGAGCCGCCAACCCAAAAAGTATCCCCACAATGTGGCCTGGAGTTTGGCGCCGCACCAGCGATTCACTCCGCTGCATTCGCACGCTCTGCCGCTTGTCCACTTCGGTTCACACTGCGGCGCCTATGTGCGTTTGCTGGCAAATTTAGTTCATTTTGTTCTGTGCATGTGCAACTGCGCACTTGCTGTGCAGGTGCGAACTGGCTTGCCAACGTGGCGGCTGTGTTCGAAAATTCGCATCGTGCCGCATGCCCCGGACTTTGCTTCTCGCCGTCTGACCGTTGTCGCGCGGCCGCGACCGAAAAAGTATCCCCACATTCCTATTGAGAAGCCCTGCCAATGAGAGCTGACGGGAAAAGGGACGAAGAGACACACATACACACATTGAAAATCAAGGGGTATCCAGCGTAAACAGAGAGATCGGAAGAGGATGAAAAAGAACCGGAATCGGATGAGGGCAAGGACGATGACGAGGAGGAGGTCGAGGAGGAGAATCTGGACAACGAGCAAGATGATTGAGCCCTCAAAATCACCTCTTGGAGTCTTCGCGGGACTCTTTTGGGGAATCGTGGGCTCCTCTTGGAGGTCTTTTGGGGGTTTTGGGGTCTTCGTGGGGCCTTCTGGGAGCCCTCATGGGAACCTGGAGGGCCACCTGGGGCCATCTTGTGGAGGCCATCGATCAAAAGGGGGGGTCAAACTTTCTCCCCCCCCCCCCCGTGGCCATCAAGCTTGCCTCTTAGGGCGCTCTTGGGACGCTCTCGGGCCGATAATGGGCGCTCGTGGGGCCGTTTCAAAGGGCTCTCTTGGGCCATATCGGGACGATCTTGAAGCCTCAACAGCGCATTGGAATCGAAAAGACGAGAAGGCACTTTTCAGTGATTTCCTTCAGGTAGTTGCAGGATATTGGCCTCTTGGGGGGGTCTTGAGGGGGTATCGAGAACACTTGGAGCCGTTTTGTGGCCCCCGTTGAGCCTCTTGGCGGCATGTCGGAAGTTCTATTGGACCATCTTTGGCGATCTTGAGCCGCTTTGGATGCCATCTAGGAGCATAGAAGGCCCTCTTGGAGCCATCTTGGGCGAACAAGGATCCCGTGACACATCGTGAATCCCCCAACACACCTCAGGGAGGGGAGAGGGATCGTAGCTCTCCCCGAAGGAAAGAGGAATTTTGGAAGAGGAAGAACTGGTTTGTCCACTTTCGCGCAAAGGGCTGGTAAGATTCAGTCAAGCTGGTTAGGGCCCAGCTGCGACCACAACGGCTCCTGCTCGATACGTTCCTTCAGTCGATTCCGAGACGACCTGGCGAGAGAGGCCTCAAACTCCGGAGGGCCTTCTCGTCCCAGAGTTCCTTGCGAATCAGTCAAGTTGGCGACTGCCCAACTGCGACGACAACGGCTCCCGCTGGTTGCCTCGCACTTCCCTCCGAGGCGCCGTGGCCACAGATGCTCCAGAGCTCGCGCAGTTCAGTCAAGTTGGCGGAGGCCCACCGACGACGACGGCGGCTCCAGTTCGATATTTCAACGCAATTCGCTCCCACGCGCAATTCACTCCCACGCAATTCACTCCCGCGCGCAACGATAGTGCGACGCAATTCTTTGTCACACTCGGAAAAGGCGCTCCTATGCTGAGTGCCTTTCCCAGGCGCCGGTATGAATGCAAGCCCCCCCCAAATGAGGCTGGCTCCTGGACTGAGAGGGCGGGTACAAGGGAAGGGGTGGGAAGCAATTAAGATCAAAGCAGCCGGTTCAATCACATGCTCACAATATTTTCGTCGTCGCTGTCCTCCTCCTTTTCTCCCCTCTCGCCCTCTCTTTTGCTCTCCTTCCTCTAACTTTCCATCCTCGATATCCGCCTCCTGTGTACTGCTCCTCCCCCTCCTCGCGCAGCGCCTGTTCCAATTACATATCCCTAATGTTTAGACAGGGCATTTCGCCTAAATTCCTTGCTCGATATCGTGCTGAATCAGCACCATGCATGTTTGCGCACAGTAGCCTACCCGCATTTTTCACGGGTACTGGACGAGTCCCGTGCGCACTTGACGGGCGACGGACGAGTCCTCCAATGCCGTAATGGACTGGGAGCTTGCTCCGGGAATAGACACTTCGGTGCATGTAGCAGAGGGTTCGGTAGCAAATTATGGGAGCTGAGCCTCGTATACATCCGTAATTCCCCTTTTGCCGCACAGTTGTGTCGACTAGCGTGAGGTACTCGATGGGGTAGCGCCGATGTAGCGTCGACTGGCGTCGATTAGCGTTGATTCGCAAGAGCGCAACATGATGTGGTAGGCTCTCATGAGTTGCCTCAGATAGAGGGGGTATCGTGGATGGGGGGAGGAAGAGGAGGAAGACGCTCTGGCTGGCCTGGCGTCCGCGAAGTGGCCGGGGCGAGCGCGCATGCTGCCAGCTTTTCCGTCGCTGGCGCGGCGGTAAATTGAGGCGGAGTGCAATCCCCTCCTGTCTCGGAGGCCTGGAAGCTGCAGCCAGCACCGACATCGGGGGGGCCCTCCACCAGGAGAGTGTGACCCACCGAGCCTGGTGTTGGTCATGTTTTCTCGGTTGCGAAATCTGATTCCTATCCTCGCCGATCAACGATTCAGGCAACTCGATGGGCGGCGGGGGTCAGGGTTCGGATGTAGACGAGCACGCGGCGAAGTCCGAACCCTACCCCCGCTTTCCATCAGTTCAGTAGAACCGATGGTTGGTGGGGGCAGGGGTTGTTTGCCGCCATTTAGTTTCGGCCAGCAAGGAAGCCTTGGTATGACCACCAGTGCAGACCCTGGTTCGTGGCCACAAGCATAGCAGTATCCGCAGCATCGCGGGCTTGACCCCTGGGCCGCGACCCTGCGGATTCCCCGCGCGGAGCGTATTCGTGCGATCACGTGTCCGCGAGATGGAGCCCCAGAATCCAGACCGCGAGGGCGCGGATACTGATCTGTTCGCCGTTCGTGACACGTGTTGCTGTTGGTGTTGGTGCGTCTCCCGAAGTCCCTGGAAGCCCCAGTAGGTATCCAGAGGCCCCTGAATGCCCCTATGGGCCTCCAGGGGACCTCGGGAGGCCCAAAAGAGGGACCAAGGAACGCTCAGAGTCCTCGATCCTCTGATCCTCGAGCATCGGCCATCGATCCTGTGATTCCAGAGCATCGGCCCTCGATCCTCGATCTGCAGCTCAACGAGACCCCTGGAGACCTCCGCGAGGTCCCCGGGAGCAGCCAGATTTTGGCAGAGGCCCCTGGAGGCTGCAAAGTCGCAGAGGCTTCGGCCGTCGATGCGGGACCTCCGATCGGTTGCGCGCTCTGGGGGGGGCAAACGCGCGGGGGCCGGCCCTCTCAGAGGGCTCGGCAAGACCGCTCAGCAGCCTCCGCGCCTGCTGCGGGGCCGCCTGTGCCTTCGCAGAGGGCTCAGGAGTCTTCTCGGGAGGCTGGCGGCCTCCGGAGCCTCCCGAGAAGCGCCGTCCTCTCCGCCCTATCCCCCCCCCCAGGGCGCGCCGGCGGGAAGAGCGAGCGGCAGAAGCCAGGGCTCGAGCCAAACGGGGTCGTGGCGCGATCTCGGAGACGGTTTTCCTGTCGAGCTCGTTTTGCAGCGGGGGCGGAGCGCGAAGGCAGAACGAGGGAGCACGAGCACAGAACGGAGACGCAGAGCACTGCTCTGGTCGAGCCCGGGCCTAGACGTGAAAGCCTTCGGGGGCTCGTGCGGATTCCTCGGCTCGGCGCTGGACCCCCACCCCCCCCTGGGGTGGCGCCTCTGGCGCGGCCCCTGGCGCGCTTTCCGCGCCCCGTGCTGCCTCCCAGGGAGCACCCGCGCGGACACCCGCACGCTGGTGGTGCCGACTCGAGCCTCGATCGCCCCTCCCTTGGGGGGGCGGTGCTCCCACGTTTGGCCTCGAGCATCCCTTGGGCTACACCTGAGCGGCGCCAAAATAACCAGGGTCGTCTTCGCCGACTCTGGCGTTGAGGCTGTCCGCGTAAGCGCGCGCGTGAGCGCCCTCGTCTCCAGTGTGGCGTGCGGTGCCGGCGGACATCGTGAGCCGCGGCGTGAGGTCGCTACGTCCGTCATCTTCCGCAAGGCCCGTTCCTGATCGTCGCTCATCGGATGCCCCTTCTCAAACACGGAGCGACAGCCTCCCAGACCCCCGACGTCCTGACTTTTTTCATGACGTCGACCCCTGGAGGTCGCGACCCATTCCCCTGGACCGGTTTTCCTTCCCGAGTCTTTGTATTTGACGGCCCCGAGGGCCGGGAAGGGCCCCCAGAGGCCGACGGTAACCAAAGGCCTCCCGTCGTGATTTTCTCACTGCCCGAGGGGGTCTGGGCTCCTGGACCTCTGTGGGTCGCTGCGGGGGGCCCCCTGCTGCCCCCTCCCCGTCGGGAGATTGCTGGTGCTGCCGCCCTCGGGGCCTCTGGCCGTAAAAGCCCGTGCTGCTCCCCCGCCCGCAGGCCGGAGCGCCCAGAATTGCTCGGCGCGTGCCTTGGCGCCGGGGGCCCCCCGGGGCCCGCGCTGGCACGCCTCCCCGGCACGCTGCAGAACAGTGCGCCTGCCTCGGGGCGGCCTCCACCTCCTGCTCCTGCTCCTGCTCCTGCTCCTGCTCCTGCTCCTCCTCCTCCTCCTCCTCCTGCTGCTGCTGCTGCTGCTCCTCCTCCTCCTCCTCCTCCTCCTCCTCCTCCTCATCCCCCCCCCCCTCTTCATTTTCCTGCTGCTGCTGCTGCTGCTCCTCCTCCTCCTCCTCATCCTTCCCGCCCTCTGGAGGTTCGTTTTGGGGACCTTTCTGGGGCCCACACGGATCTGCAGGTCGACTTTAGCTCGCCTCTAGCTCGCCTCAGGTTCGACGCAAGGGCCACGCAAGGCGACGGACGTTCGACGAAGCATCGACGCGCGAGTGGAGTGTGTGTGTGTGTGTGGCTCCAGGCTGAGGAAGGTCTCTGGAACGAGCAGCTAACTTCCTCCCTTCTGTACCCCTCTCGCCTGGCCGAGGGCCACCCTGGGTCATCGGGCGGCGCGGTAACGTCTGTCGTGGCCTCGGCCAGCAGGGGTGCGCATGCACCGTCCCAGGGCCCAGGGCGGCACCAGCCAGGCATGGATTTAGACGCCGACGGAAACAACAACCGCAAGAGCAAAAACTTTCGGAGATGTAGAAGGAATGGCCGCCAGGCAGCCGAGGGCGGCCAGCCGCCGCGGTTAGCGACGGCGCGCCGCGGCCAGACCGTGCGCCACATCGCCAGACATGCATGGTAGAGACCACGCTTTGCGTCTCATGACTGTCGTTACAACTACACAACAACAATCGCATGCCACACCGCACCGACACACAACATCACATTGCGCGGCATAGCGTGGCACGGCAGAGCATGAAAATCCAGAGAGAACTGATCCAGCACGCCCAGGAACATGTCATAAGCCAAGAGCCAGGAACGCCCGCAGAAACCTGGGCACCCCCAAGGAATTCGATCGAGTGGGGTTTGGGGGCGCAACTGCTGCCCGGTATCGGGCGCAGAAGAGGCGCAGAAGATATAAGGACCCCACGCAAGCAAGTGTTAGTTCAGGGGGCAGTCGAGGGGTTGTGAGGAAAAGGGAGAGGACAAGGAAGGGCCCATGAGAATCCATTGGGATCCATAAGCATCCCGATCGGAATCCCCATCGGAATCCGTACAATCCCCATAGGAATCCAGAGAAATCCCCATGGGAACCCATGGGAATCCCCATGGGAACCCATAGGAATCTTCATGGGGATCCGTTGGATCCCCCATCGGAATCCGTAAGAATCCTCATCGGAATTCGTACGGCCCCCCATAGTAATCCATAGGGATCCCCATCACATCCAAAGACAATATCAATAGGCGAGGCCAACTGGTCGAAAGAGGGAAACAGCGCGAACGAGCGCAAATGTTTGAATCAATCCCAAGTCTTTTGGGGGGCCGCACTCGGGCCGGGAGACTCTCGGGCCATGCGGTTGGGGTGCCCCGCTGGGCGGCAGCGAGCGAGGCGCTCGTCGGTGCGCGCGGGCTGCCGCAGAGGAAGGGCCTCGCCGCGCGGGGCTCAAGGCGACGGGGGGCGCTCCTCGACGCGCTCTCCGGCAGCCGTTCGCGAGGTCCGGGGGGGGGGGCCCGCCCGAGGGCGAACCTCGAGATGGCGGGGCCGACGAACCCACCTGGGGGAACGCCCAGGCAGTGCCCAGGCCCAAGCCGAACGAGCGGACGTTGGCGGCCCACCTCGCCGAGCGAGCGGAGGGCGCGGTCCACGCGCAGCGGCGTCGAGCCTGGAGCGGCCACCGCGCGAGGGGGGGAGCCAGGGGGCGGAGGACCCCGGCAACGCGAAGAAGGCAGACTTCGACGGGTGCCTCGGGGTCCGCGTGTCGGGCCGGACGAAAGGGGGGCATTGGGAAAGGGGGGGGGGGGGATACGAAATTCGCTGCATGCAGCTGGTTTCGGCCCCTCCGAGGGGCCCACTCCTCGATTCGTGGCCGCCTCTGGCGCCGGGAGGCGCCGGGAAAAGCAGCTGCGTGAGCCGATTCTCAGAGCCCCCCTCTGCTATGCCCCCCCCCTCTCGCCCGACCCGAGCGTGGTGGCCGCGGGCCCGAGGGGCGCGCGCCCTGCTCGATGACGCTATGGTCTCCAGGGGGCGTCGCTAGCCGGCCCCCCGAGGAGAGGGCGGGCGCCCGGCGGGGGAACAGCCCCGCGCAGCGCACCGCGGGCGCGGTCACAGAGAGGGGGCGGGAGCAGCTGCAGCAGCGCCCCCGCGGGCGAACCCTGCCCCTACCCTGCCCCCCCTTTCGCCCGACCTGATGTTCTTCGGGGGGACCTGTGTGTTCGACACGGTCGTCGACGCAAGCTCGGGGCAGGGCTGGCCCGAAACTCGACGGGTGTTTGGCGCGGCGCCTCCCCTCCCCTCCCCTTGGCGGCGCGACGGGTTCGCATCTGGGGGGCCAGATGCGAACCCTACCCCTCCCCTCCCCCCCCCGATTGTTGAGGGGGAGGGTGGGGGTCGCTTCGCTCGAGAGCTCCCGAACGAAGCGAACCCCACCCTCACCCTCGGAAATCGTGGGGGGCAGGGGCGGGGTTCGCAGGTGGCCCCCACAGGGTGCCGGCGAGGAGCCGGCCCGCGAGCGGCCCGGGAGGCAGCGCCCGCCGCGCGCGGGGGCGCGGACGGGGCGCCTTCGGTCTCTGCGTGTGTGCGAGTGGCGCGCAGTGGTGGCGGCGTCGTAGAAGGAATGGGAGGCAGGGGCGAGGTGAGAAAACGGCGGGCCCCCCCCGACGCCAGCAGTGTCAGGGGCGGGGGGGCCGGGACACTGTCGCGCGTTGCCGCCATCGTTCTGCCAACGGGGGCATCCCCAAGGGTGCGCCCCCGTTGTGCCGACGCGAGGGTGTAGCGCTTTTCCTCGCCCGGCGGCTGTGGCCATTTGGGCTCTGGTGTTCGGTCGTTTGCGGAGGGCCCATCCACAGCCACCTCGGGGCAGCAAGTTCGTGGGGGTGGCAGGTGCCCAGCGCGCATGGCCCCCAGCACCGCCACCCATATAAGAAGGGAGTCGCCGTCCCTTCACTCTGTCTCTCTTACCGCTATCGCACCACTACTCAGGCTAATCGAGGATATGTCCGTGTGTATGTGTAACATGTGTTCTTTTATCTTGCTCCTCTCCTCCTATTCATTCATGACCCCGGTTCCCCTCCTCATGTCTTCCTCGTGGTCTTCGTCGTCCTCATACCCTTCCTCCTCCATCGTCTCCTTGTTCTCTCAGATTGTCCTGCTTGTCCTGCTCCCTTCCGTCCTTGCCCTTCTGCTTCTCGCCCTCCTGTCTCACTTCCCCTCCAGATTTTTTGGGGGCAGGCGACGCGGGCTTTGCGCCCACGGATCTCCGGGGCGCCCGCGCGCGCGACCGCTGTGCCCCGCACTCGACGATATAAAAAAGATGGGCGAGGGCGGTGCCAGATCTGGCGCAACTGGGGGAGGTTGCGGTCATCGGCGCCCCTGTTCGATATTCTTTGGGGGGGGAGGAGGAGGAGGAGGAGGAGGAGGAGGAGGAGGAGGAGGAGGAGGAGGAGGAGGAGGAGGAGGAGGAGTAGGAGGAGGAGGAGGAGGAGGAGGAGGCTGGGACTGACCCGAGGGTCCGAAGGAGGGGGGCCGCCTGCCCCCAAGTTCATTCTCGGGCCAGACGAAAGGGGGGGATTGGGAAAGGGGGGGTTACGAAATTTGCTGCATGCAGCTGATTTCGGCCTCACCGAGGGACCCATTCCTCGATACATAGCCGCCTCTGGCGCCGGGAGGCGCCGGAAAAATCAGCTACGTGAGCTGATTCTCACCCCCCCCTTTGCCATCCCCCCCTTTCGCCCCACCCGATATTCTTTGGGGGGACCTGTGCTTCGACCTGGTTCGACGCAAGCTCGGTGTAGGGCCGACCCGAACTTCGACGGATGTTTGGCGCGGCGCCTCTGCACGCGCAAGACGAGTGGGTCTGGGGAGGGTCCATGGGCAACGACGCCCCTCTCGGAAAAAGGTCGTCGATCCGACGGGTTCCCCAGGGGGCGGGGGTCCACCAGCAGCTCCCGCATCTCTGGCCGGTGGGGGGGGGCACCGATGTGCTCTGGGCTTGGCAACGGCTCAGGCCCGGCAGCCGCCTCCACTCTTTGTCCACCATTCGTTATCACGAGGGTCTGGCAGCTCCAACGGTTGCACGGATGTAGGGCGGATCGTTTTCGGAATGTGGTTCTCCCCTCGGCGCCGTCGTACACGGCTCCGACGGCTACACGGATTGAGGGCGTTTGTT